GTATGTGTCATGCAAGACATCATGGTACTGAGCCTTTTTTGATGGTTTCTGTGGATTCTTTCCAGAAGAAAATGAGACAGTGTGTGCCATTTACTGCATTATGGTATTGGACATTTTTTTTGTGTGCAAACGTATGCAGGCATATCAGTAGTGAAGTATTGTCACACGTGTGATTTACAGTCTCATGGTACCGATGTTTTGTGGACTGTTTATGTGGGATTATCCATACAAAAATGAAATAACATGTGTCATTCATAGCATCATGGTACTGAGCTTTTTTGGGCCATTTATGTGGGAGTTTCCATACAAAAAAATGAATTAACATTTGTTGTATTTATCAGTGTTTCTGTGCGCAAGATGATGGAAGACGATGCAAGATGATGCAAGACAATGCAAGACGATGCAAGATAATGCAAGAGAATGCAAGATGCTGCAAGATGGTGTAAGAGAATGCTGGGCAATGCAAGATGATGCAAGACGATGCAAGACAATGCAAGACGATGCAAGATAATGTAAGACAATGCAAGATGCTGCAAGATGGTGTAAGAGAATGCGGGGCAATGCAAGATAATGCAAGACGACGCAAGACAATGCAAGATGATGCAGGTCAATGCAAGACATGCAAGACGATGCAAGACAATGCAAGACAATGCAAGACGATGCAAGATGATGTGTTTTTTTTCCTAAATAAAATGAAATGGCTTATTTCATACACTGCATCATGGTACCGGGCTTTTTCTGTGGTATTTTCTGTGATGAAATGAAAGAACATGTGTTATACACTGCATCATGGTACCGAACCTCTTTGAACATCCAAATGCTTATATGCACACTGGATGTTTGAAAAAATAGCAGGGATCGGCAAACCGATATCTTCAAGATGTGTTGTATTTCTCGGAGTTTCTGTGTGCAAGATGATGCAAGACAATGCGAGATGATGCAAGATTTTGCAAGATGATGCAAGACAATGCAAGATGATGCGAGATTTTGTAAGATGATGCAAGACAATGCAAGACAATGCAAAACGGTGCAAGAGGATGCAAGATGATGCAAGATGATGCAAGACAATGCAAGATGATGCAAGACAATGCAAGACAATGCAAGATGATGCAAGATGATGCAAGATGGTGCAAGTCAATGCAAGACGATGCAAGGTGATGCAAGGCGATGCAAGAGGATGCAAGATGATGCAATATGATGCAAGAGGATGCAAGACAAAGCAATATGATTGAAGGTTGTGCAAGACGATGCAAGATGATGTGTTATTTCCAAAATAAAACGAAATGACGTATGATATACACACCATCATGGTACCAAGCTTTTTTTGTGCCATTTACGTGGAATTTTGCATGATAAAATGAAATATCACGTGTCATACACAGCATCATGGTACCGAGCTGTTTTGTCCCATTTATGCGGAAATTTCCATGATAAAGTGAAATGACATATGTCATACATGGCATCATGTTTGTGAAATACCAGGGATCGACAAACAGATATCCTCAACATTTGTTGCATTTCTTGAGGTTTCTGTAGGAGCTGTTTGTGAGATCTCGAGAATTGCATAGTGATTATGCCAATGTTCGTTCGTGTCATCTGCAGGCAATTGTAGACTGTCGGCATTGCAAAAACGTCAAGTGCGGCCGTTTTTTGATTTTTTTTAGCAGGAGCCGTGTCACGATGATGCTCTTGCATCTGGTGCAAGCGTCTTGTGGGGCTGGCTGAAACGATGTTTGGAAAGTCCTTCGGCGCCTGATACTACATTGCTTCGAGATGCTGTTCCAGAACAAAAAGATCGCATGCGTATTTTGGCTGTTTTGGCCGACAAGACCATGGGTCAGGTGGAGGGATTGCATCTTACGCTTGCTTCTTTGGATGCTCGTGTGGTGGATGCGACTTTGCGGCTTCTTGCTACTTTCGATGAAGTGCAGCAATCGTGGCCTAGCAAAGCTGTCATGGATTCTGTTGATTTATTGGATTTACCAGGTTACTTCGCCTCCATTGGCATGGAGCATTTGCTGCGGCATCAGGCTGTGGCATTGTTGTCCTGTGTTTTGCTGAGTGTATCGGAAGAAAGACGACTTCAATGGTGTCGTCTGGTGGGGTTCACCATCGACTCGGACATGTTGGAAGTGGCGAGCCGTTTGTGGGATGTCCACACACTTACACTTGCTTGTGAATGGGACAGTTCTGGTGGTTATATATGAGGATCGTGACAATGTGGTGGAGGTGGGTGGTTGTCGAAACTATTGCATGGCTCGTGTTAGTTTTTTTCATGTCTTGCCGGTTCGCGGTGGTTTTGTCTTTGTGTTGCTTGCAGGTGGTCCTTGGCATCCTGTGGGGCACGAAGGCGTTGGTGGTGGATGATGAGGGCGAGGTGCGCCGGCGTCGAGGTAAGCTGGATGCTGCAGACGCGACGTACCTGCGATGCCTGATGCGGAGATATGGTTGGGAAAGATTTGACCAGGACGTGGAGGTGTGCTATTGGTCCGAATGCTTTCCATCTGCTCGCTATGGGAACAAGAAGTGTTTACAGTTTGCTTGGCTTTTGCTGACGCGGTTACTTCATCCTCGCGACACGCGTGCATTGCAAGCTATGCGCTCGCGTCACGATCCATTGACGGTGCGAGAACTTCGTGATTCCAGGACGAGTGTACTTGCAGTGTCGTTGTTGTATGTTTTGTGTAGTTTTCTTACCTTTGTCACCTTTGTGAATAACAACATCATGGTACCGAGCTTTTTTAGGCAATTTATTTGGGTATTTGCATGATAAAATGAAATAATCTATGTCATATAAAGCATAATGGTACCGAGCTTTTTTTTTGCTTGATGAATGAGAGAACGTATGTTATTTATGCATCATGTGCGTCATCATGGTAGCCAAATCTTTTTTGGACATCCGAAATTCTTATATGCACGTTGGATGTTAGTGAAATATCAGGGATTGGCAAAGAGATATCTTCAACATTTGTTGCATTTCTCGAGGTTTCTGTAGGGGCTGTCCGTGAGATCTCGAGGAATTGCATACTGATCATGACATTGTGCGTACAGGAGCGGAGTGTCTCCGGTTGTCGTGCAATTGGAACTGGATATACGACAATGGCAGGAAGCGCAGCAGTGCTTGCGGTTGCCGACTTCAGATGAAGACGGTGTGCTGTTCAAGCGGGTGTCGGAGTATCTGGAGAAGGAGAAGAAGGTGCGCTGTCGTTCCATGAAAGCTGCATTCCCTGGCGATGTGGACAACATCAAGGAGTTGAAGTTGGATTGTTTGGAGGCCTCGGATGATGCAGAGAATGGTATCAAATGGAGATCCGACACGGAACGCAACTTGATGCAGTCGATTCCTGGGTGGACTGAAGGAACTCTTTCCAAGGCCGCTTTTGTGCCATTGAGTGCCATCCTTTTCGGCGCTGGCACTTCTGTTGTGGAAGGTGTTCAGGAGGTGGATGTGGAAGGGGATGGTAATGCAGTTGTTCCTGACGGCACTGGCTCTTCATGTGTGGAAGTTGCTGAGGAGGCGGATGTGGAGATGGATGTTGCTGCGGGCATTGCTATGGAGGCCTTGCCAGAGAATTTGCAAGTTGCCAAGAAAGCTTTTGCTGTGTTGGAAAATGTGAATATGAAGTTTGAGATCAAGCTGCGTGAAGTTGCGCAGATGTTGGACTGCAGTCCAGCTATCACTGCTATTGGTGAAGCGCTGTCTCGCCTGGTGTTATGGTCTTACGATGATGATGATGTTCAGAATCCGCTGGAGCGTTACCAGTGCCGACTGTGCAATTTTGGAACTGCCGGACAGAAAGAATTTTTGGAACATTTAGTGGAGAAACACAGTGGAGGTGCCGATGCCAGCCGTGTGCTCATCGAGTACCGTAAGAAGGTCATTGGACTGTTGACACACTTGGGCCCCACAGTTTCTTGTCTGCGCTGACCTTTTCTGGGATAGGGGTACTGAGCTTTTTGTAGCTATTTGTGTGGAATTTGCATCAAAAAGGGAGATAATAGTTTTAATCCACGGCATCGGGGTACTGAGCTTTTTGTTTTGTATTTCTGTTAACACGATCGGAGTAGGGTAGTGTTAAATGTTTGATTTGAGATATCATGGTACCGAGATTTGCTGATGATGTTTCCATGAAGTGATGCATCAGGTCACCAGCTTTGCTTCGCAACGTCGCCTAATGGAGAATGCTGATGAAAGGCTTCGACAGCCCGAGCAAGGAGGTCGCTTTGAAACTGCATGCGTGGTGTGTGCTCGCAGGTTTTGGCGGGAGCAGCTGAAGATGTTAATTTTATTCCAAGATCCGGATGGCAGCACGGAGTTGGAGAATGGTGCGGTGGATGTGATTCCGTGTGGTCAACAGGAGCGCTTGTGTCGATTTCTTGGAGTTGAAAGATACAGTCGAAGATGGCCCAAGATCCCTTTGGAGGCTCTGCATGCTTCGGCTGTTGAGCATCCATACTGCAAGGGGGAGCATTTGCTCTTACACAAGCGTCGAATGCCGGTGGACTTGAAGGACCCTTACCACTGAATGCACGGGTTTGTTGCTGTCATTGAGGGATCACGGTGCCAACCTTTTTGTAGCTAATTGTGTGAATTTGTGCATCATAAAATGAGCTAACATTTTCTGACCACGGCATCGGAGTACTCAGCTTTTTTTTTGGTGAAGTTTTGGTCATATGTTCGGATGTCAGTGCACTTGCAGGATCCTTGCCTGGTGTGCAGTGACTGCAAGGGCTCGTTGATGTCATCTAGTCTGACGTTGCCTCGGCACAGCTTGGCCAATGACCTTTGGATGGGCGAGCAACTGTCCGCACTGCGTGGCCTGGCCTCGGCCACAAAGCGACTCCTGCCGATGACACGGGCGTGCATGCAGGTTGTCGTATTGCAGCCCGGGCATTTGTCGCGTGAAGAACGTCAGCATGGTTTTGTGGGGAATTCGATTTTTCTACCTCAAGCAAAGCCGTCTTCAGTGCTGACCACGCTCCCTCCAAAAGATGTTGATATGCAAGATGCAGTTTTGTTTGTTTTGGTTGGAAGCCAGAAGGATGCAGTCAAGGGCTCTTCTTTGTTGCGTGCCCCGAGAGATGAGTACACTGCCGCTGTTGAATGTTTGAGGAAAACGAATCCTTTCTATGCGGAGGTGGAACTGAGAGATGGCAGTGATGATCTTTTGGAGGGCTGTGTCTTGGAAACTGCGGAGGATTCTGCATTGGCGCAGGAGTTGCTGCAGCGAGGTCCTGCAGACGCACAGGGACAAGATGCGTCGGAGGATGAGAAAATGGACGGTGCGAGTGAAGAAAAGCGTGAGGGCCTAGACGCACCAGGCAGGGTTCTGAATTAAATTTGGTTTTATTGATTGCTTCATGGTAGGGACTGTCCGAATGAAGCGATCGAAAAAAGATGTTAATATCGCGTTTTGCTTTGTAATGTCTGCGTTTCAAAACTATTTTGTTCTGTTTGGGTGAAAGTAAATATGGAAAACTCGCGCACACATTGCAGGTCATTTGATGTCTTCCATTGTTGGCTTGAACGATGGTGCTGATGAACAGAACAAGTGGGTGCGTGTGTTGAAGGATGTGGAGGAGGTCTGTGTGAGACAGGGTGGGCGGCGAAGGAGCCATGCTGCCGATGTGCTTCGCAACCGCATCAACAATGAAATGCCGGCCCCGGATGCATCTGTTCCTGGGCAACTTTTGGGTCGTGAAGGAGCCCAAGAGAGGCAAACACTTCAAAAAATTCGGAGAATTCAGAAGATTGCCCGTGGCACGGCTGAAAATGAGCGGAATGTGGAATCAGCCATGTTCCAAGTCAAGCCTTCCAAGTTGGTTGTTCCGACCAGAGACGAACCGCTGTCGATGTTTGATCCGGCCACCTGGGGCATGTCATTTCCGGACTTGTTTCCATGGGGTGATGGCTTGCCTTTTTTGAAGCGTGAAGCCAACATAGATGCAACAGAAGTGTTTCGATATTTGTTGCTCCGGGAAGAACTGCATTACAGTGAGGGTGATGCTCTGTTGCCAAGATGGTCGCTTTCAGTGCTTTGGATTTGGTTTATGCAAATTGTTGGTTAGTTTTCTGTTTTCCGAGGATGGTATGGTAGTTGTGTTTGGGTTTAAGTTTTTGAGATTTGCGGCCTTTGTTCCAAGTATGCGCTGCGCAGGAGACTTTGCTTCCAGTGATGTACGACGTGCAGCGTCGACTACATTTGATGCGTGCGACCAAAGCGCATGTGATGCGTCGTGGCTTCGGCAAACATTGTCGCGTTATTTCTGAAGTCAACACGGACCAATTGCTCAAGGCAATGGCATTGCACGGAGACAATGCGGACCTCAGAGTGTTGTTGCAAGATCCGCAGGTGGATGTGTCCTTGAAGCGAGCATTGGGAGGAGTGCTTCAGGCAACTTCGAGCATCATTGGCATGGAAGGGCACCGCAGCCAGATCCGGTTGCGTGGTCATGCGGCTGGGTGGCATTATGGTTCTGCGCATCTGTTCGTCACGCCCAACATCGCAGATATGCGCTCGTCCTTGCTACTTCAATTGCACTGGCAGAATGCAAAAGTGGAAGAGTGCAAAATTGATTTGGACTGGGAGGCGGAGATGCCAGAATTGCCCAGCGCAGCTGCTATGCGACGGATTGTCGCGAGCGATCCCGTCGCTCAAGCGCGTTGCTTTGCCTTGATGATGGATTTGTTTTGTGAGGAGGTGTTGGGCATTCTTCCACCTTTGGCCAAGGGAAGTTTTCGTGTGGGGGTGGCAGCAACCTTCGAGGATGGCATTGCGAGTTCTCTGCAGGGAGGTGTTTTCGGTGATATTGTGGCGTTGAATGGCCGTTGGAGACTCAGGGTTGTGGTTCTTTGCACCCTCACATGCTTATTATATTGCTGGGACACGACTTGGGAGATCGCTTGCGGAAACTGATGCATCGGGTGCAGCATGGTGAGTTGGTCGTTGAGTTGCAGCGGTGGAGTCGTCGTGTTTTGGAGGCTGTGCAGCGCTTTCAGTATGATTCTCAATTGGCCTTGTCGGAGCAGTTGAGCAGTCCGACACAGCCACTGCCTTTGAATGAACGTCAGCGATCAGAATGCGGTCACCAGTATGAATCCACGCCTTTGGTGCCTAGGGCGGATCCGTGGCTGGCAAGGTTTTGACATTGACCGGATGCTATGCTTCTTTGCGACCCAAGTATCTGCGACGCAGTGAGCGTTCTGCGGGAGATGGTCTCGAGTGGAAGAAAAAAATCTGTGAGGATTACAGACGTTTGGTGATCCAGAATCATTTTCACAAATGCACGAAATCATGTTTCAAAAAGTTCCTCGCAATGAGCTTGGCAAAGTTGCCGTGGTTGTTGTGGTTGTTGCTGTTGTTGCTGTTGTTGTTGCTGTTGTTGTTGTGTTGTTGTTGTTGTTGGTTGTTGGTTGTTGGTTGTTGGTTGTTGGTTGTTGGTTGTTGGTTGTTGGTTGTTGGTTGTTGGTTGTTGGTTGTCGTGGTTGTTGTGGTTGTTGTGGTTGTTGTTGTTGTTGTTGTTGTTGTTGTTGTTGTTGTGGTCCTCGTTTTTTGTTCGGTTACATGTTGCACGGTTGCTGATACGGCATCAGTTTGTGTAAAACATCTTTGTGTAGAGTGGAAAAGAGACATCTGGAGTGTACAACGTGAATAGTTGGGTGTCAATTCGAAGAAGTATGTATATGTAAACGGGAAATGTCGCTTTGGCTGAGGAAAGCCGTGAAAGGCAAACGTGGGTGTCGCTTTGGTTGCTTTCACGTTGAAATGATTCTGGGCAAGGAGGACAAGCCGAAAGTGTTATGCCGGAAAGGTTGGCCTCGAGTTGCGAAAGCAGGTTTTTCTCGGTTGCAATATGAGACAGTAGATTTGAAGGAGGTTGAAGAGTTCAAAAATGAAAACCCGCATGTGTTTCAAGCTCGGTGTGATCACCCTTTTGAAGGGATGTCGAACCCGGTGGCGCAAGCAGTGATGCGATGCAATGTGGATGTGAAGTACATTGGACGCAATTTTTCAGAAGCAGACCTTTTGAAGTTTTGTGATGGGAGCATAGACCAGGAGCCTGGAGTCGAAGTTCCCGCTTCTGCATCTTCTCTGTTGGAACTGTCCGGGAGTAGATTGCAGGAGATGGAACTTCAACGCCCGGCGCTTGGTTCGTCTTCGGATGCCATATCGAGTGCTGATGCCCCACATGCAGAGCAACCTGTGTCGACTGAGTTGGATGCTTCGGATCCGCCGCCGAAGAAGCAATGCATGGGTCGTGTTTTGGACACAGAGCATAAGAAGATGCAGACGATGAGAAAGGCGCTTGATCGCATTCTGGTGGACCTTGCAAGAGATATGATGAACGTTGGTTTTTACACTGGTGAGTATGCTGCGAAGAAGTTTGAAATTTCGCGGAGCATGTTGCCTGAATTGTATGCAGGACTGCTTGCTTTGGGGCGGTCGAAACAGAAAATTTTGACGGTATTTTTTCTTACCGACTTCGTTTTGCAGCATTTTTGTGGAAATGTCCTTAGTAAAGTAATGTAACATATCTGATTTGGAACATCACCGTACCGAGCTTTTTTTGAGCATTTGCATGGGAATGAAATAAAAATTGTCATTTACAACATTATGGTACTGATTATTTTTTGGCGTGTGCTTTTAATTTTGTTCTCAGTAAATGGCAACATTGAAGGAGTGCAGCGATTGGAAGAGGAGGAAAGGGAAAAAGCAAAGGAAGCTGCAGCGGGCACTGAGCAGGAGGTCCTGGAGGGGGACAGGGACCCTACTATGACAGGGCAACAGAGGCGTGCATTGACGATTTTGAGAAGACTTGCCTTTGGAATGAATCGTTGTGTGGCCAAATCCAACGGTGAAATGGCGTATCAGTTGCTATTCGAGCAGGAGCAACTGGTGACATATCGTGGCTACAACATGTTCTTTCGCTATGTGCCTTATGCAATCATGCGTTGCAGACATGAGGACATGGAGGAGGTTTTGCAAGCCAGGCCGCATCTCAATGGCTCGCCCTTGGATGTGCTTCCTGACCCCGAAGGAGAGGCACCAGTGGTGGTGGATAAGTTTGAGGAGGTTGTTGATGAGGGGGGTGATGTGCCCAGAGTCCAGCAGGTGCACGTGAACTTCAACCAGAAAGACGATTACTTGCACAGGGGCTCTTCGGTTTTGTTGCAATGCATGTCCCTTTTGATGTATTCTCGCTTCGTTCGCAGAGTTTCCAGGAACAAAGCCGGCAAGGTGGATGGAGTGAAGTTTTTCCCGAGAGCGCCTGCGAAGGGTTCTTCGTAAAAAAGCAGCCGTTATACTACATCTTCACACCTTCACATCTGCTGATCTACATCTTCACACCCTCACATCTGCTGATCTACATCTTTCAACCTTTAACAATTTCTGCTTGATCTAGATCTTCACACCTTCGCACTGCAGATCTAGATCTTCACACCCTCACATCTGCACAGATTAGATCTTCACACCTTCACATCTGCTGATCTACATCTTCAGACCTTCACACCTGCAGATATAGATCTTCACACCTTCACACCTGCAGATCTAGATCTTCACACCTTCACACCTGCAGATCTAGATCTTCACACCCTCACATCTGCAGATCTTCACACCTCACATCTGCAGATCTACATCTTCACACCTTCACACCTGCAGATCTAGATCTTCACACCCTCACACCTGCAGATCTAGATCTTCACACCCTCACATCTGCAGATCTAGATCTTCACACCCTCACACCTGCAGATCTACATCTTCACACCCTCACATCTGCTGATCTACATCTTCACCCCTCACGCCTGCAGATCTAGATCTTCACACCCTCACACCTGCAGATCTAGATCTTCACACCCTCACATCTGCAGATCTACATCTTCACACCTTCAGATCTGCAGATCTCCTCTCGCTCTTCTTCTATTCTCTCTTAAGGCGGGGGCGGTGCCGCCGGAGCGCCACGAAACGCAACCCTTTCGCACGAAATGGACGTTGGACGTCCAAAACCTAGGTAAAATTGCGATTTTACTTGGTCAATCGCAACCCTTACACGCGAAATGGACGTTGGACGTCAAAAACTGAGGACAAATTGCGATTTTACTTGGTCAATCGCAACCCTTACACGCGAAATGGACGTAGGACGTCAAAAACTGAGGAAAAATTGCGATTTTACTTGGTCAATCGTAACCCTTTCGCACGAAATGGACGTTGGACGTCAAAAACTGAGGAAAAATTGCGATGGACGCTTTCGTTTGTGTAAAAGTGTCTGTGTGTAAACGCCTCTATGTGTATAAGCGTCTGTGTGTAAAAGTGTCTGTGTGTAAAAGCGTCTGTGTGTAAAAGTGTCTGTGTGTAAAACCGTCTGTGTGTGAAAGCGTGTGTGCGTGCGTAAAAGGCATCTGCGTGTAAAAGCGTCTGCGTGTAAAAGCGTCTGTGTGTAAAACCGTCTGTGTGTAAAAGCTTTTGTGTGTAAAAGCGTCTGTGTGTAAAAGCGTCTGTGTGTAAAAGCGTTTGTGTGTAAAGGCTTTTGTGTGTCAAAGCGTCTGTGTGTCAAAGAGTGTTTGTGTAAAAGCACCATGTGTAAAAGCGTTTGTGTGTAGTTTTACCGCACGACATGGAACTGTCAGAGATTGAGGGTGAAAATGCTTGCTAGTGCATCTGTGCTAGGACGTGTGGGGCTCGGTTCGTTTAGTTGAAGGGAGAGTGATGATGCTTGAGCACGTGTAGACGTTTCAATTGATTGTGTCGTTCACTACAACTGCTTTCGATGGTGCGCGCTACACCAAGGTTGAGACCACACAACGATGCTGTTGTTTGGACGAGTGTCGCTCAATGACAGAGTATGGTCCTGAACTCAAACTTTTTGTTTTGAAATCAAGCATGTCATGGCATCGAGATCTGTTGCAAACGCTTGCAGACATAGTGAAGTATAGTTCCTGGGCTCGGATGTGAACGAATGGACAAGATGCGTTTCGGTCAGTGTGAACATGAAGATTAGCATTAAATATCAGGAAAAATATTAGGAACTAGCGAACAGATATGCATGTCTCGGGATTTCTGAATGCAAAATGTTTGGTTCAAGTCGCGCACCTGTGACGTTTGTGAACGCATTGTGGTCGCTGTTTCATTTTTTTGTGGTGGCACTGTGTTGGATGCTGTAGGTGAATGATCGGAAAGTTGCATTGGCTGCGAAATTTGAAGAACTTCATGTAGAAGCTTTCTCACATGGTGTGGAATGGCTTCGTCGTGCTCTGTCGGAGATGTCAAGAGATGAACTGCGTGACCTGGCTGCTGTGGGTGGTGTGGAGACACGATCCGGCAGCAGATGGCTCACAGTGGGAGAGTTGTGCAGCGCCCTTATGAAAGTCTTGTTGCCTCCATCAGAGGCGCGGGCGTGCAAATTTTGGTTGTAATTGGATTTGTGCAAGATGATGCAAGATGATGCAAGACGATGCAAGATGATGCAAGATTATGCAAGATGATGCAAGACAATGCATGATGATGCAAGGTGGTGCAAGACAATGCAAGATAATGCAAGATGATGTGCTACTTCCAAAAGCAAGACAGCGCAAGATGATGCAAGATGATGTCATACACAGCAGCATGGTACCGAGCTTTTTGGAGCCATTTATGTGTGATTTTCCATAACAAAATGAAATAGCATATGTCATACACGGCATCATGGTACTGAGCTTTTTTGCACATCACAATTCTTATATGCACGCTGAATGTTGTTTGTAAAATATTAGGAGGCGGGGCCTTGATAATCTCGTGAAAATGTTCATTCATTCATATTTCTCGAGGTTTCTGTGTGCAAGATGATGCAAGACAATGCAAGATGCTGCAAGATGATGCAAGACAATGCAGGACAATGCAAGATGATGCAACGAGGTTTGGATCTATGTGATATATGGCACAAAAATGCGATTTGTATTTTTGCTACAAGTTGTATGTTCGTCGCATGGTGCAGTCCTGTAAGATGTTTTTTTTGTTGGTGGCACTGTGTTGGATGCTGTAGGTGGATGATCGCTGGGCTGCCAAAGTGGAAGAACTTCGCGAAGGAGCTGTTTCACAAGGTGTTGAGTGGCTCCATGGTGCTTTGTCGGGTGGTGTGCAGGGACGATCCGGCAAGAACTGGCGCCCTCTAGCCGAGCTGCGCCACGGGTTGGAGAAAGTCTTGGT